GGGGACATGTCTGAGGAGGGCTGGGCAGCCCCCTACAGGCCTTTATGTTTGTTTCTCATACACAGACATAAGAGCACAAATTCTGGTGAAATATTTGAGGAACATGATATTTTCTAATGTCACAACTGAGCTCAGTTTCACAACTAATTGCTGTGAGGTATTTTTGCACTAAACCTCTCAGCATGGGGAAAGCAGGAGTCAGATCATTCAAACAGACCTGCAAGTTCCTGCTGAAGCTGGTTGCTAACTTGGGACCTTCCTGGTGCCTTTATATAACTTACAAGAGGTTGGCACACTTGGAGAATATTACCCTTCCTAATGGGCTCAGAGGCAAGGGAATACACATGGGTAAATGCTCCATAAGCCAAGTCCTTCTTCATCACATTGTATTTTTCTTTGCTTGGATAAGGCACCCATGTGGCCTGGGAGAGTATGCCAGAGTGAAATTTCTCTCATGATGCACCATTTTCTTAAGGACCAATTTCCCTCTATCTCCATTTCCCTCTACTCTTCGGTGTTGTACTGGGAATAGTTTTCATCTCCTGACATCACCAGAAGGGCTGAGAGATGCTGAAAGCATACATCTGGGAAGAAAGCACAGTGTGGCAATGGAAGAATAATTGTGGTGACAGGGCAGGGAGAGCAGATATGTCTCTCTACCAAGATTTTACAGCATCATTTACATTAAAAAAAAAAAAAAAAAGTTTATTTCTTGTTAGAAGAAGCAGGGAAACATGAGAAATTCAGAAACTCAAAATATTCCCAAGGAACAAAAAGGGTTAAAAACCAAAAATCGAACCCACTCCTACCAAATCACTTCTAGTTCAAGCAGCAAAGAATGCGTGACCAGCCTGGGACTGATGCCTGTTTCCTACACACTGCAGGAATTTCAGGGGCCTGAGCCCAGCCGGAGCTCACTTCTGGAGAAAACACAAACCTGCCATTCATTAAACCTCTCTGCTGGGATGTGGTACAGTCATGGCCGAGACCTGCATGGTGCACCTGGAATGAGAGAGCCACATGTCCCAGGAGTGGACATGGCACAAGCTGGAGCTAATTGGTGGTGGTGATTGTAAAGGGCTTGCAGCTAACTTTAAATTGACACCTGTGTGTAATTGCAGATGGATTGAATTTAGGACAGCCCATCAGCACTCACTGATGGGAGGACAACCACCAGCACCATTGCAAAGAGCAGGTACTGATAACCCAACCAAAACGACCCAAGCAATCATTGCCTCACGTGGGCCAGGGCTGGTTCAGAGACTGCACCCTAAAGCACAGACAGGTCAGCCGGTCACAGACATTAGTGGTGTCTGATACACTCGTCCCCCCACAATGCATGTCATGAGAAAACAGCAAAAGCATGGACTGTGCTACAGAGCACGGCAAATTTGGCATCGGCTCAGGCAGATTTCTATTGTCAGAAGTGCAGAAAATAAATGCTTAAGACTAGGAGGATCTCTTTACCAGGAGGAACAGAGCCAGGCTTCTCAGCTCTATGCACAATTTTAGCTCACTGCAAAATTACCGCTGCTCACCCTCCTTCTTCCAGCAAGTAACAGGATGGCAGAGGCTGGCGATACAGATTCCAGGTGAAAAATAAGCACAAGCAGTCTGTCAGGGCTTTAATCACATCTATATGAGATGTGATTTTTCCTCCTTGCCAGATGTACCTTTTTTTGTACACAGACATTAACGCTCGTGAAACAGCACTTGATCAGCCTTCATTTCCTGGCTGGATCCCTGCCCATTTCTCTGGCTGAGCAGCCCAAGGTTTCCTCCTGCTGCCTGGCCAGCCCCGGGCAGGGCTGGCGCAGTGGTGGCTGTGACAGCCGGGGCGAGCGCACGCCGGGGCTCTAACGCACTGCAGTGGAGCCGCTTCCGATGCGGCTGCCTCAGCCTCCTCTCTGCCACCCCTGCCTGCTTCATTAGCATCACACCGTTCAAAGGCATGGAAATTAAATTATATTTAGGTCACAAACATATTTTAAGCAAAAATACCTATTATATTGAAAGCATCTTCTTCAGAGACTGTCTGCTGCTTCAGGATGGTTGCACTAGTACTCACTGTCCTTAATGTTTTTTAATGAGATACCAGGTGCTTCCAAAGTCTGGTTTTTGTTTGAATATATATTAGGCTCATTCTCTCTCTCAATCTAAATGCTGGTAAATAAGAAACTGCTTTGTGGCAGCTCGTTTAGGTATCCCAACCAGGCAAAAGCCTAGATTTCCCTGGATATCTTTGAAAGAGAGAGAAAACAGCTCTGCCACAGGGACAGGACTATAGTCCTGAAGAGTCTGGAGCTGCCAGTGCTCTGCTCTCTGCTTGCTAGCAGGCAGGCAGGAAGCAGGCAGCTTTCCAAGAGCACCAGAACTCGGACATTGCTCCCCACACATTGGGCTGCCACTTCTTTTAGCAGCGGCCTTTCCATGACTCTCTGTGCATTCACATCTTAAACAGATTCAAGCATCTGGCCACACCTCCTATCAAGGTTGTATGAGAGATGATCTCCTTGGACTTTGCAAATATTGATCATTATTCTGGAAGCAGCTCAGCAGAAAGAAGCTGCTCTTCAGCCCCAGCTCCTCTGCTGCTGGAGGAGACTTGTCTCACAGTCAATACACTTTAAACTGGAGCATATTGTGATGTTTAGGGATCCTTGGCTGTCCACACTTAGATCAATATTCCCAAGCCTCCTGTGAACAAGCCTGGGGCATAGTTACCTAGCCCAAGGCTTCTAGTGGGATAGAGCAGCACCAGTCCTGGACAGCCCAGAGCAATAACCTGGAGCACTGTGTGACACGTCCCTGCTCCAAAGGACAGGGCCCAAAGCCTCCCTCATTTAGGGTGACACACACCAGAGGAACAGGGCTGCTGCTGCTTTGCCCCCACAGTCTGCCCCTGGACAGCCCGCTGGCTCGCCCTGCTGCTGACATGTCCTTCCACCTCATCATAACCTTTCCATTTCCATGAAGGCTTTGTCTTGCATTTGATTCCTGAGACAATTTTCTCTCTCCTCCTAGGGAGGCTCAGTGGGAGACAGAGACCTAAGCACAGCAGGCTGCTTCCCCTGCCAGGCCCTCTTAAACTTCACAGCATGTCCTGGCGCTGCAGGCATCACTGAGGGACAGCTCCTCAGATGTCTCAGGAAGCAGGCGATGCTATTTTTCTGCCCTCTAGGATTCCTCCACGGGATCTTCAAATCCCTTGACTCTCACAGAGTAAGTCTGTTTAATCCAAGTCTGAAGGAGGCAGCAGCACAGGAAGAGTTGGATGGAGGAAGCCAATTTTTGGAAGCTTATTAGAAAAGATTGTAATGCTTCTGTTCTTCAGGGTTGACAGTGCACATTCCCACCATCAACAGCTTAGATTTGCTCTGGCCTGCTCTGCACTGGGCCAGGGAGCACATAACTCCACTGCAGTTTTCTTGACCTGCAGTGGTAGCAGGAACAAAGGCAGCTCACATCCAGCTGGGAGAGGCACCTCTGACCATTGGGAAGAGGAGCATGAGCAGCCTAAGAAACGCAGTTCTCTTTCCAGAGAGAGCTCCAGTGCCCTGCCCTCATGTATGTCCCTAGAACCATAGAATACTCTGAGTTGGAAGGAACCCACAAGAATCATCCCAGTCCAGCTCCCGGTCCTGCACAGGACATCCCCAAGAATCACACCGTAGTTGTCCAATGCTTCTGGAACTCTCAGGTATCACTCATCGGATAAAATGCACTTTAGGCCGGAAGCAGATGCAGAAACTGGTTTGAATGGAGTTAGACAGAACATCCACCCAGGAAGGCTTGACAGCGTTATTGGGTTAGCGTTAATGCAGCACATGTGGTCCAGCAGGCGGGGGAAATGGCTGGGCCTTCCTCAGAATTGATGGCTTTATCCCTTGCATTAGCACCAACCTGCTGGCAGTGCCTGGCTTTGCTTGCAGAGGCTGTTTTTCCCTCCTGCCATGCATGCAGAGCTCTGTTCAGCTGCAGGAAGAGAAAGAGGGCACTATCAACTGTGTGTTCTGTTCATTCAAGGCAGGCTTGTCATGACAGGGAAGCAGCAGTGTATGGTTGACTTTCAAGAGCCCAACTGGCTGGAACAGAGCAGAGCAGCCATCCTTTCTAATGCCAGGAACTGCTGGAGAGGGCAGGAAACAATGATGGCATCTCCTCATGCACCTTTGACCTTTCCAGTCCTCCCAAGGGCTGCATGTGGTGGATGAAAGCTGGAAGGCAAACCCCACAACCACCACTCTGATTTCCCCACATGCAGGACATGCCTTGCTGAATGACAAAAATTTCAACTGCTGCACAAACCACAATTAAATGTGTTTATTATGAAAACCACTACTTTATAGATTTTTGTGCTGGGTATTTCCTCACCTCATCTTTACAAAACCTACAGCTTGATTTTACAAACTGAAAACTCAGTATACGGCCCTGGTGAGTTCAGAGCAGTTTTCTGTATTCAGGATTAGTTCTCAGTTTCTGCTTTCGGCTCCTTGTAAATCTACCTACTTTTCTCCACTGATAATATTGAATTCAGCCAGATTAAATCTAGACAGAATGGGTACAGCACATTTTTTTCTGCTAGCTGATCACTGAATCTGACTTATCAGCTCTGTGACTTGATATCTAGAAGCTTGATACAAAATCTTGGAAGCCTGTCTACACAAGAACACCATTTTAACCAGCAGTACGATGTCTGCAAGTCCTCTACCATCAGCCTATGCTTCCCTTGAGGAAGGAAGAAAGAAATGGAAGTGCTGATCAAAAGCAGCCTCTGTTTTTTACATAGCACTGGTGTAATGAAACATCCATCCTGGAAGTGCAGGAGATTCCAGGAGGCATTCAAGGAACCTCTGTTAAGGAGAAACAATGTGCTGTGGGATTTCAAATGGTCCTCTCAAAGGAGACCTCAAATTGTTTTTTTTTCCTTGAATCCAATACATCAAAATGATAAGCAAACACTATTCCCAACTAGGCACAAGATAAACTGAAACATGACAAAGGGGAGAAGTTTCTGTTTATTTATTCCTCTTTAAAATGACTTAAAAGAAAATTCAAAACACTATTTAAAAAAGAGGGGATTCAGAGTATTGAGAAGCTGAAAATCAAACCACAAAGGAGGCATTACAAGGTTAGCAGAACATAGAAAGCATAGTTAGTATAAAACAGATTTACAGTCTCAGTGAGCAGCAAATTTGTACTGCCCATATAAGTGGAACAGCACATAATGCTGCCCCTACTCTCTGGAACACAGAACTCTTTTATAATTTTGTTTTATTGTAGTACTGTGTAGGAAAACACAACAATTTTAAAAAAGCAACATTTTCAATTGAAAGAGAAAAACATTAAAAACATTATATTGCTCTATAGGCACTGATAAATGTCTTTCTGTGGTAAAAGAGTGTGCCAAGCAGAATTCAAAATTGTGTAATTCCTCTTAAAATCATATAGCCCTGGTGAGACTGCAAATAAAACTTAGTTATGCTACTTCTCTGGCACTGCCTGACAGCAGCTCTGCCCACTGTGAACTGCCTGCATGTCTTCATGGACAGGGCTATGCAGAAGCAACAGGCAGCAGTATTGGAAAATGAAGGTTTCTCCTGGCAAGTAAGAGCACTGACAGCTCAGATCCATGGAGGGCATTTGTTACACTGACAAGAAGTGACTGACTGCATGTGCTTGCCAAGGCTTTTGCTCTGCCTGTTTCAAGTTACACCTGACCCTGAGGTGCTGAGTCCCAGTAGGGAGCGAACAGGAGCAAGAAAAGGTTGCTGCCTACAGGTCTGCTTAGAAAGAGCCACTCTGGTGGCCAGTGGCTGCTGGCAGAGGCTCAGCTACAAGCCCTGTCTGAGCTTGCCATCAGCAGACAAATATTCCATCTCCTCGCCCCTCACTGAGCACAGGCAGCTGTATGTTACATATGCCCTCCTCTGCAGAGTGATCTGCTCAGACTATGGAGCCCTTATGTCCCCTGAGAACAGGGATGAGGACTTCACTGGGATCTGCAACAAAAATCAAGTTAAAGCCATTGGGAGAAAGAGTTGCTGGGGCCTTGGAGAAGGTTAAAGCAGTGCCTGTGCAGGGCACCCTGAAGCAGATTTTTACCGTGCAAGCATCCTCACTTCTGAGACTCGTCCTCCCCTATGTATTTTGGCACATGCAGCTCTGCTGCTCCCCTGCTCTGGCGAGCAGGATGCCTGAGAGAAGCAGTGCTGAGCTGCAGTGACCCTGCCTATGCACAGGGGAGGGATGATGCACTCCAGTCTTCTGTTCTGCTAAAGAGTGTCTGCCTTAAAAAGTCACCTTTTAAAAAATGCCATGGCAGGGACCAGTTAATCAAACATGTCCTCGAACATGCGCTGCCCCATGGCTATGTAAACCTCTTTTTCCTCTGGCGTCATCTGGGCCACCAGCTCGGGACGCTGGCTCACTTGGCTGTAAGAATGTGGGCGTCCAGCCACTGTGACAGTGGGGTCTTCTGCCACCACCTCAAACTCTTCGTCCTCCTCCTCCTCCTCCAGCCCGTATGTTGTGGTGGCTGTGGCTGCAGGGCGGGGAGGGGACTCCTCCTCCGACTCGCTGGTCTCGCTCTCGGAGTCACTGGCGTTGCCGCCGGAGAGAGGAGCGGCGCCGCTGACGGTGACGGTGGAAGCGGAAGGTGTCTTCTTCTCGTGGATGAGCAGGGCACGCATCACCTCCTCGTTGTCATCCAGGGCTGCCCGGCTCTCCTCACGCTCCTGGAATGCATCCAGATCCCGGCCCCCTGCAAAGGGACACGAGGGAATGAGCATTTCCTCGCAGAGAGCTGTGTGATGGCCCTGAAAGCTTTCTTAACCTTCATTAATTACTGCCACTGAGCTCAGTTGGCAAAGTCACACCCTTTCTCTATGCCAACTCCTCCTCTCCCTTAATATTCAGAGAAAGCCTCATAATGGCAGAGCAAGAACTGACATCTCCTAGGAGCTGGGAGGCCTAGAGTCACTGTGGCTCCCAGCTGGAAGCCTTCACCAGGAGCACACTGCAGGTGAAGACAACAAATGCACAATGGGCAGGCACCTGGAAAAGACTTCCCCAGGGAGGTGTCCAACTCTGGCACTACAGTGGAGCAGAAAGCAAAGCAATCGTTAAAATACAGACCCCAAGCCCAGGCCCTATCCTGCTGAGCTCCCTGCCTGTAAGGATTAACACAGAGAAGAAATTGATCCAGGCAGACAAAGAATATGTGGAAATCATGTGTTATAAAACAACATTTAGAGCAGCCATGCCTGGTGAGCTCAGACATGCACCTACACCAGGGAGAAAGGGGGAATGCTCCTTACAGGAAGATGGTGATGGCATGGAGCAGATGCAGCTGACAACTTGCAGCCCAGCTGTGCAGCACAGCACTAACCAGTGCCTGCTCTCCAAGCTGAAACACAGCCCAGACAAGCCCTGTGGCTCCCTACCTGTGCCTCTTATTTGAAGGGAACTGCAGTGTCCCAGCTGACACACCTGGCCTGTGCTCCTCTTTCAGAAAATTTGGGTGAACAACAGCTGGGAGCCTGGCTGCCTCTGGTAGGCAGGATGTCTGCAGTTCATGGATTCTAAAGGTAAAATTCTGCTCAAAAAGTAGCATCCCACAGAAAACCTCTCCTAATCCTACCTTTGGTGATAGGGCTGTGAGTACACCTAGCACCAAAAGAACTACAGGCAGTATTGGGAAAAAAACCCCCAAAACCCACCACAAAACAAAAAAAAAAAACAGAACAAAAAATTAAATATGGAGGAAAAAAAAAATAAGGCCTAAAAAGTAGGACAGGCTCCCTGTGGCAAACTTTCTGTCTTACACCAAAAGATGCTGCCTGTGAACAATTGCTGGAGCTGAGGGGTTGGCATTCTGCCTTCATACAGGCAGCCACTTGTCCACTCCTCCAAGACACAGATCCTCATGAATTCAGCACGACATCCAGGCAGGCAGCTCCCAAGTCTTTCCCCTCTCCAGTCAGATATGTGCTGGTTACATTTTTCAACTTGAGATTAAAAAATAATGTGAAGGCATTTAGCACTAAAAGCCAGGGCAGTTTGTGGTCACTCCTTTCCTGTGGTAAGATAAAGGCCAAAAGAACCATACCTAATTTCACCAGAATTCTGTTTTCATTGTAAATAAAGCTGTAGTAAGGGGTGATGGCTACAACTAGTAATACTAGAACACTGCCAAATTCCTGAAAGGAAGGAAGAATAAAGGCATCGTGTTGGCAGTCGTGTGCTCAGCTCACTGCTTGTGACTGTGGAGCAGAAGAGGCTGTAGGAGAGCATCTCTGTGAAATAATATCATAGCTCATCACACTGAGAGCTGTGAAACGACAACAGCCAGAGTTAGCTCCACAAAGGCTGACTTTGTGGCTCAGAGAGGCTGTCTCTTGCTTGCAAGAACTGTTTCTGCCAGATCCAAGCAGTGAATCTTTTCTGTCAATGGTCCCAAGTTTCTGTCCTTCCTGTTTATGTGTTGCAGAAGCAATTTCAGGCTATTTCCACAAGATCCCTCTTTGATCTCCATAGCTGAGGAAGTTAAGCAGTGATGCCACCATCCTGTAAGGAGATACTCCAGCTCCATGTCCCTCAGTGACTTCTTGAGAAACACTTACGCTGTGTATATTAAAAGTTGTCTCAAGGAGTTGATTTAAAACTACAGGTGAATTGAATGTCTAGCAGAAAAATGGGGTGAGAACTCACCATGGCTGGTGAGTAACAACATTTGCTACAGACTGCAGGAGCAGGTTCTTCAATCATCTCATTTTGCTTAATCTATTTGAAAAAATGTTTTGGGATCCATAATACACTTGAAAGGCATTACATGTGAAAAGTTCTTTAGGTATCTTGTGACCATTATATCATATCTATTTCCTTCACTTCTGCTACACCTAAGTCCACTCCTCTCCTGAACATGGCACAAGTTCCAGGGTCACATACTCACACATATGACTCCCTTTTGCCATATTTTCTTCCTAGGGCATCATCAGTTTCGGTCCATAATCCTAAAATTACTCTATCTATTAACTCACTCTTCTAAAAATCATAAAAGGTCTCCATTTTCAGTTTTGGCATGGAATCTTAAACACCACACATACCAAAGCAGAATGTTTCTACTAATGGTTATAAGATTTTGACCATTGGTCTGTGGATAACCTGACCCCAAGATGAATGAAAATAATAATGAGAAACAAACAGAAGGGAATAAGACTCACCTGTCATGGTGACAGACCTTCCTACTGTACTCCCAGAAGCTGTATTTCTGGGTATTCTTCATACGTAACAAGTTTTGAGAAACAATTATCAAGAAGCCTGGGAGCATATAAACAGGGCTGGTAGATTTAGTAGACTTCAGGGTCACTGAACATTAATAAATGTTATATTTCAGCAGTGACCTATTAGGGAAGACAGCTTTCTAGATGAAACTGAAAGACCTTCATCTAGAAGTAATAAGCTCTCAAGGTGGAAGACATAACAGTTAATTAACATTTTAGAAGCCCCCCCAAAATTTCATGGACAGCTCAGCTTTACTGACCTAGATTTCAATCCTGGGTCTAAGGAATTTTTACATCTGCCTACACACAGGTGCTTTGCACAGCAGAGGGGAGCAGACACTCCAGTGTTGGGAGCAGCAGCTGTACACACACACAGCAGAACGTGGTTTTGACAGCACCCTAAAGGCCTTGTATAAGCCCAGCAGTACTTCTGCTCTGTGAATTTCTTACCATCTTTGATTTCATCAGGGTCATAAGCCCCCTGCACCGTGCTCTCCCGCAGCCAAATGGGTCTCTCTCTGGCTGGCTTTCCTTCACTTGCAGACCGGTTCAGATCCTCCTGGTCCTCCATGCTGATGACGACATTCTGGGTATACAAGTCCTCATATGATGGTCCCTTCGTGGTCCATGCTTCCCGATGGTGTCCACCTGCAAGGCCAGCTGCTGCCCCTGAACCAGCACCAGCTGCACGCTCCTTGCTACATGAAAGTTAAAGAGAGAAAAACAGAACTCAGAACAAGCCCCTCCTTAGACAAAAACACTTAAATGATGATCAGTTATCTCATGATCTGCACTGAGAACTTTCATTCTCAGTTCTAACATGTGCTGCCAGAAATTTCTGTGCCAGCTTGCTGGTTTAGGAAACTTGTGGATCTCTAGTGGGAAACCCTACATAGGGCCATGGCAACATCCACCACAGACACTGAAAAGAAGAGGCAGCACTAGAGATGCAAATGCACTTAGGTTAAAACAAGCATAACATCCCAGAATTCCCTGAAATAAAAGCCACAGCAGCAAAACACAGTCAAACAGTAGTTTGGTATTTGGAAAAGCCTCTTTTTGGCCTTCACACAGCAGCCAAATACTGAATTAAAAAAGCACTGAAGTTTAACCAAGGTAGATAGTAGGCCCAGGGACTCAGCATGCTCAGAGCTGTGAACTGTTATTAATCACAGGACTTCTGAAGGAGTTAACTCACCAGGAAAAACACAATTTAAACCTTTGCTTGAATTTTGAATGACAATGCACTTGAAAAGTGCATTACACAGGAGATCTGTACTGTCCACAGACGCAGCCTTGGGAGGACTGGGGAGCTCAGGCAGAGTAGAAATAAGAGAGAGCACCTTCAAACCAGAGGACTAGGACTGGACAAAAGGCTTTGTGTGCTGATGGAGTGCAGGAGGAGATAGAAGAACTGAATTCACTGTGGAAAAAGGGGAGAAATGAAGGTGCTGACCCATGTGAAGGGTATGGCAGTCAAGCCCAGCCCTACTTTGCTCTCTGCACATTTCCCTGCAGGGCTGCTTCTAGCTCAGGAGACTGATGGAGAAAAACATTCCTGCTTGGATCTGATCAAAACAGGATATCAGGTGAAATATTTTCTGCACACTGATGATGGCAATGAGCCTAAAATACACCCTGGCCTGTGCTGCTACGTATGCAGAGTGGGGAAAGCCAAACGTGACTGTTCCTCTACTTCAGAATGAGATTTCATCTTTTCAGAGAAACAAATCCACTGCAGATCATACCTGTCCTCAGCCATATAATTCCAGTCACCCGATTGCCAGGGGTAACTACAGCTTTTCATGAGGAACAGCCCTGCCTTGACTCCTTCTCTTGTCCAGATTAAATCCATCAGGGATACTCCAGGAAGCCAGCTGAGCTGACAGTTGTCATCAGTGAGCATGGTTCAGTTGCTGCTGTCTACCCAGTGACCTTTTCTCCAACCAAGAAGCTTAAAATAAAGTTACACTTAGAGAAGACCTGACTAATATGAGGGTTTTTGTAGTTCAGCAAGGACATTACCACTGTTTGATGAACTAATTCTGCTGGCTTTTTAGGGATAAACAGTGAGGGGAAATTACACAGGTAGGTGAACATTGCTCTTCCCCAAATAAAAAATATTGGTGTGTTCAGCCACAGTGTTGATCGGAGCTACTCACAGGCTCTCAGTAGTGGAATGGCTGGGATCTGTTAACAAAATACTTCACAGCATCTTGTGTTAGCATGTCTCGTGTCCTTAGCAATCCTGCAGCCAGCTCTATTAGCAGAGCTTCACAGCAGCCTTGAATTTTGGGGCAGAAGGCTCATGCGCATGTATTGCTTATGTAACCTGAGGAACCACACAGAGACCTTCTCCCCAGCGTGTTATTTCAAGTGTTGGTACCTTTCAGCTCTCCAAGACAGGCGTGTGTTCTGTGAAAAGCACCACTCTGCTTCCCACATAATAGAAATCTCTGACTAGCGTTTCCCTGACGATTTTATGTAATCCACTTTCCTCACAGGATGCACAATGCAGCTCTCCCCCAAGCTCTCCCTCCCCATGACTACAGCGTGACACTAAACTCTCAGTAGTGCCAGGAACTACATAATAATACTTTTGCATAGAAGCCTCTGTGAGTGTGCCTGAAATTGACTTTTTTGCCTACACAGAACCATTTAGCAGCAAAACACTTATTCCATGACGTCAGGAACATTTCAAAAATGAAAGTAACACTTCTAAGAGACACCTACAGTACTAATTACTTCACGTGACCTACTGCAATGTCCTACACTGAGCTGGAGCCATCTAGACACTTCCTGTCTAATTTTGGACCCCAGTGAGCTTTGCAAGTGTGCTTCAATTGATGTCTCTTTATCTTCAGTGACACTGTTGGTAGGTGTGAGCACCACCCCAAGACGACCTGAGCAGGGGAATACTTCACTCTGCAAGAAGAGAACTTACTGTTGAGCAAGCTGTTCCAAAGTACAGGATTAGACACCATGGACCAGGCACCAACAGAAGGCCAGGTGTGGGAGCTGCCTTACAGGCAGCACAGAGCAGATGAAGGGATCTCTTAAATCTCTCTTTCTCTCTTAGATCCAAGAACTACTTTTTCCCCACCTTGCTCTAGACTTCACATGGCCACCCTGCAGGCAGGAACTGTGGCAGCTCAGTGGCCCAGATGTGGCTACATTTAGTCTGTTTTATTCACCTCGATGGAAATCCCTTAATGAGTGGTTTAGCTGCCTTTAAAGGCAACATAAATAGCCCTTGACACAGCTGAGGTATGGCCCACAGAAACCACACTGTGCAGAGGGCAAACAACTTGAAATTTTCATCTCAATCCTGCCCAGACTATTAAGAAAGGTCTTGGATAATGGGGATAACTCTCTTTTTTTGCCACATTTGAGATAAAACAAAACACATTTTCATTGTGCTGCTCTCGAGAGTTTCAACTTCAAAACAGACAACCCATGGTTCTTGACAGCACGACCACAGGAAATTAATTCTGTGAAGATTTTTTGTTAATTAAAATCATGCTATTTTGACACAAGGAAATAGAAGGGTTATTAAAATCCGTAATTTTTTCAAAAACTACAGAGAAGGGCTTAAGTAAAACAGGTTTATTTTGAAACCTGTGGGGCTAATTCATGCTCTCCCACGATTAAGAAAATTAACAGCCTCTCAGGAAAGCATAAATGAAGATCTACCCAGTTTCCCAGGGCAGGTGAATGACAGCTATGCAGTGCCAGTGGGGCCACTTAGAGCTGTAACTCTCCTGAAAACACGTGGAGTTGCCCAAGTTACTGCACAGAGAAGATGCAGGCATTGTGTGACCTTTTCGGTTTGCTTCAGAATCACCAAATGTCAATTTTGTTAATGATTTCAGACACTCAAGACTCCATAAAAACAGAGAGGGATAAATAACCCAGGGTTTGGCACTTAAAAAAAAAATCTCACAGCAGTGCTTTCATGGAATTAACTGCTTTGAATTAATAAGAGTTAATAAATAATTAAATCACTGTATGTGCTGAAGCAAGTTGTGTTCAAGTAAGCATTTAGAAAGCTGCCTATTTATTTTATTTATTTATTTCATTCCTTGCACAGAGTAATTAATCATTTACAATGTTTTTTAAGTATTTAAGAGTCAAGTAAGTGGGTGCTGCTATTTAATCATGGGACTGCACCAGGCCTCTGCTGTGATAATTTCCTGTACACAAAAAGGGAAGACTAAAAAATTACTCTCTTTTTGGTAGGGTTATCCCAGTTCTACTACTTAAACTACTGAAAAGGGATTTTAAAGCAAAGTCTAGTGATTCAGCTTGGGTATAAAGGCTTCAAAGAATTCCCCATATCACCAAAGACATGTTGAGTAACCTTGGAAAAATCTTTTCTGCTCTTTATATTGCTTCTGTTTTTCTATCAGAATGATGAGGAAAAATAGCTACCTTCTTGGCTAGAAAAAGACTATGAATAGACAAAGAATTTTTATTATATTAATTAGAAGCTGTCTAGCATGAATATATGAGGAACATTCTTTCTCAAGGTTAGCCTGAGAGAAAAAAAAAAGAGTATCTTGCTTGCTCTCCTATTAACTAAAGCCAAGCACCCCAAGGCACTGTGGGAATGCTTCCCCTCATGGTACAGTTCTTTTCCTCCGTGTGTATAATTAATTTTTTTTTTAAAATACAGAGAAGTGCATCACATTTCACCACAGCTGACAAAACTGACAGCTCCCCACATCTTTTTGCATTATTTAAACATCATCTGTTTTTGTAAAGCTAGGAATGTTCTGAAAGAAAGTGTCATTTCCCATGGGTAAGAACATTTTAAGGACTTTTTGATTCTAACATGGTCTTCTCCTGAAAAGAAGAGGTGTGTAACAAGTTGGACAAATTCAGAAGAAAAAAACTGCTTATTACAAGTAATGTCTTCAAACTAGAATGCGTAATATGAGGATTTGAAATGCAAGGTGTGGATTGCAGATAGCTTTGTTTCAAAAGCTGGGTAGAAGCAAAAGGAACAGATGACAGATAAGCATTTGAGACAGAAGACAGCACAGGTGGCACCTTCAGAGCTTTGTCAATCAGCTGTAATTTTAATTATTGGGCCAAGGGCTTGGTGTGCCTGCCAACATGGCAAGTAGCAGGCAATTCAAGCATCCTACCTCATAGAAAAATACATGCAGTGAGCTGACCAAAAGAACAGTTATTTGCCTTGTTTAGTAAAAAGTGGTTACAGCCCTCTGTCTCCTTGTAAACCACACATCCCTGGGGCAATCTGTCACTTGTTTGCATAGTTGGTGCTGTACAAGTAAGTGCTGCACAAGGTTTGGGAAAGGCCCACAGAGCAGAGGAACACTCTACAAGGAAGCAGTGCAGTGAAGAAAGACCAGGTGTGCTCCCACCTCTGCTTCAGGGCAGGAATCTCTGTGGGTTCTGGCTCCAGGATTTCATAGGCTAAGTTAACGTCTTCCGTCTCACGAAGCAGCGCGTAGATGGGCTCGATCTGCTCGTTAAACCTCGCAACGAGTGTCCTTGCATCCTTTTTGGGCATTGCTGACTCATCTTCTTCCACCTCGGTCTCGCAGAATGTACAGCGGAAAGTTCCTAAAACGAGAGAAGTTGCTCAGCATTGGAAGGAAAGCAGCAGGCCCGGCTCCTCATGCAGCCTTCCCAACAGCAGTGCCTTGCTGTTCCCTTAGCTGGATGCTAAGGAGACTTTCTGCCCTGAAAATCCCTTCCCACACATGGTGTACCTGGTTATTATTCAAGCAGACAACAAAGGAAGTATTTTGATACCATCCAGGGATACCCAGCTGGGTACAGTTTCTCGCTCTGAAAAGCCCAGATGGGCTGCAATACCTCTACTGAGACATCTCCTAATCTCCCTCCCTCCTTGCTGCACATTTTAAATGTCAGCTATGACTGGGCTGTGATAAAAAGCTACACAGTATCCTCCAAGGACTTCAAATATCTTCTGTTTCAGGTGCCTGTGACGCTATCTCCCAGGCCACACCAACAGGCAGATTTCACAATAAAACAGTGCAGTTTTACACTGCACCAACCAGCCTGCAGTAACTGCTAATCTAACCGTTGTCACTTTGCAGCTACTGCAAAAAAAAGAGATGGCTTCCCCTTCTGTTTCAAGGCCAAACCAGGCAAAAAAGTCATTACTGCAGAGCAGCCAATGCAAAAACTTATCCCACCCAACTCCCATACTAGCTTCTTAAAATTACGAATGGTAAGATAAGAATCATGTGAACAGCAGTTAAAAATAAGTTTGTTTTGCAGACCTCGGCAGGATCTATAAAAACAGGTCAGACTGAAATGGCTACATGGCAAAGCAACTACAAAAAACCCACTGAACTCCTGCAAGGCAGCTTTTGGGTTTCATCACTCCATCTGTGAGCAGGGCCCTTGGGGTGGTACATGCACAGTGGGACCTTTCCATCTGGTCTGCTAGGAGGGAGCAGAACACTGCAATGGCTTCGTCTTGCAAGTGCTGGACTGAGAACATACCCCTGCCACCTCAAAATATGACATCCAGAGTGATGCTCACAGGCTTCTTGATTTCTCTTGCCCCATGGGTGGTATTTTTTATTTATCCATTCCGTGACACCCACGCACATCTAGCCTCACCTCTCAATACCCCAGTGAAGCAATGACAAGATCTTTTTACCAATAAGAAGCCTGAGGATAGGTCCTGCCACGGAAATTATAATCTTACGTATAAAAATCAGAATTAGAATCCATATTGAATTCTGCTAAGCCACCAATGCTATGGACAAACACAGTCAAAAGAACACGGCTTGCCCAGGGCACTTGGGCATGATGTAATGACACAGGCTGGCAAGCCAGGGCTTCTGGTATCTTGGTTTGCTGCTTACACAGATTTGCTGGTGTTGTCATTTCATTTTTCAGCAGAACTCCTTCCCTGCCTGTAATACAGCGATAAAAACAGACCTAACTTCTTCAGCGCTGGTTGTGAGGGCTAGACAATGCTCGCACTCCTCTCAGCAAACACAAAAAGTACTGTTTATGACAGAAGGGAGATCTGTTGCCTCTCACCAGTCTGCAGAGATGCAGTTTTGTACCCTGGCACCATCTGAAGCAGTTTTTGCTCATTGTTACTCAGAAATTAATGCATGCTGTGTATGTGGCCTGTAATATGGACACATTTCCTGCGATAATTCCTCTCTTTAGAAAATTTGTCTTATTGGCATGCAAAAGCCAGAGCAGCCAACAACAGCACTATGCAAAGTAAAAGACAAGTGGATAAAGTCCTGTTCTCTCCTATCCAAGCATGAAACACTTTGCTTATTTTTTTCCAGGCTGTAAAAACTGTCCTCACTGATTCAAAACTGCTCATTATATAAACTGTCAGACCAGCAAAAACTGAACCCAACATTTGGTCTCCTTATCCCACATCTGAGGCTATCGGTGTGACATAAGTTGAATCAATTAAAAATAATTAGCACATCTCCATTCCCATAATAGACCACGGGAACAAACACAGGTTAATGAAGAACGCTCCCCTCTTTTTACACGCCCCCCAAGTCCTGTTACATGTTCCTGAGACAGCTCAGACTTTTCACACTTCCATCTGTGAACCCCATGAGTATCTGCAAAAGATTAAGATCATAGGGAGAATGGTTCCAATTCAGAGTACCAAAAAATCAGAAAGTAAATACAGCTCTAATGAAACAGAACTCCTAAAGCTATCAAGGATTTGCTGCAACTTCCACCCCTCAGGGTTCATAATAAGCAAAAAAATTTAATAGATGAATTATGTAAAGAATTTGGGAATGAGTGAAATGACAAGCTTCCTCCATTAATATGCTGGGGTTTTTTTCAAGGTGATGCAGCATTTCACAAGAGGCATATGTGATTAGAGGACTGGGAAGCTGCTTTGCCATGGCAGATGGCATTTACAAGTTGCAAACCTCTTTCGTTAGTTTTTAAGAGGTCAGAAAATGTCACCAAAGCTTTTATGACATGGCACATCACATCAGCAGTGACACATGTTCCTTTCAGATATGAATTGCATGTGACAAACATGAAGTGGAGGCCATCCAAAGGCTGAAAACGGCAATGTTTCCACTCCAACGATGTATTTTTTCCTTCAGCCCTTACACAACAGTTTTTCAATTCCAAAATGCTGCATGAACCAGGACTAACAGATATCCTGGAGCAAACAGACATGAGTCTTTTCTGCATCTTGGAAATGCTAACAGAGAGCACATACATCCCCTTTTTTGAACACATGCTCAGCCACTCAACAGACCTCTCTGGCTGCATGTTAAAAACCAGCCATCTGAAAGAGATCTCTTCATATGCTCCCGGACTCTGGGGGACAGATATGCTGGTAATCTGGCTCCCCAAGGCTTACTAAGATTAAAGCAGCTGAAGCTCTGAAGTATGGGGCCAGAATATTTAGAGATAATTCCTAATGACTTGATTTCACTTGAGAGAAGAAAAAGGTCAACCACCCACACATATTGAAGGCAGGATGTCCAAGTGTGCAAGCAGCATCTGCTACATCTAACACTTTTAACTGGCTATAGACTCCTGAGTCTGAGCCCAGGCCCTGCTTACACCCTTGTCAAAGGGTTCAAGCCTCACCTCCAGCCCAACAAGGGGTCTTCCACTCTGTCCTTTGGGATGCTGCCCAAGACTCTCACTACTCTCCTAGAAAACTATTTGATTTTCAACCTCAACTTATTCCCATTCATCTCAAACCTATGATTGTTTTGCCAACAACAGTACCTCATCTCATCGGGTTTCCATCTTGCTGTTAAGCCTTCAGGTGTATTTACAAACTGCCGTCTTATTCATCCCTCAGTCTTCATTTTGCAAGGCCATGTATTCTTCTTTACCTTTGAAAACTAGCCACCCATTCTTTTGACCTTGCTAACAGCCTCGCTGGCCCTTTCTCCAGTTTGCTCTCATCTTTCTGCTGTGAAGATGGAAGTAGAGACAAGTGTCCAGATGAACTCTCCCAAAAGCTCAAAAGGCATGAAAAGGCATTAGTGCTTCTCTGATAGCCACTGAGACCTTTTAAGATCACATTGTGAGAGACCATGAAAGTGATGCCTCAATTATCGCAAGACCCAGCAATGTTCCCAGATCTTTCTTCTCCTTTGTATCTTTCCTTCTCCTTTGTAGTTTCCAGTTGATGAACTCCATGTTTATAGCAGACACTTGCATTAGATGGTAGGTGCATGACAGTACTTCATAGTATAATCTTTCAGCTCCTTTATATTCCTCCAGCTTTCACCCTCATCCAATTCTTTTTTCTTGACTGCATCACAAAACATTAAGCTAATTTATTTTCAAAATCTCCCACAACCTTCTTTTAGAAGTAGCATTATTACCATTACATGGTGAGTGAGCTGAGGCACAGATGGCATCATTTCAGAAGTATCTGCTGATTTGAGCAGTACTTGATTTGAGATGCTTTTCTGAAACTTCTTTTTCAGAACAGAACATGCCGTATTCTTCTTTCAGGATTGGGCATGTCCAATGAGTAAGATACAGTGGCTAACGACAGCCTCTGAAAAGCTTAAAATGACTAGTTCAACATCACACAAACTCAGATGGCCTGGAGGATCAGATCATGTTCTTGTGGCTTCTACAGCCACTTTCTTCAAGTAATTCCCTGACTCTTACACTGCATTTTTCCTTCTTCTGCAGCAAGCCAGACAAAAAGTGCGTTCTGTAAGCATAACTCCTCTCTCTCATTGAGCAAAGCATATTTTGGCAGAGAGGGGAATTATGACACAAAAAAAAAGTTATAGGATGCACAGGCAGCTTCAGTTCAGCACTCCTTAACCCCGAGTGCTTCACCTGATGTTAAAATGAGAGTGGTAAAGACCCTGAGGAAAGGACAGGAGTTTCCTAGGTCCCTACCACCAGAAAGGCAGACAAATGCCTCCCACCATGGGAGGCTGTGCCAGCAGCCACATGGTTCATCTGCAGACCTGGAGCCCTCAGTTCCGCACAGGACTCTGCCACTTTAGTCGCCAAAGGCAAGGTGACAACCTGCTAGTGCTACAGGGGAGCAGGATGCTGTGCCAGCCTGCTTCCTGAAACAAAGGGAGGATGAGAAGGAAACACCTTGGGTGCTGCTCTAGCTTCTTGAAAGAGAGGTGCTTTGTGGGAACCTGCCATTCCACCTGCTAGCCCCACACCTAAAGTTTCCTATCCAGCTCTTCCTATCTGCTTCCCATCCCAGTTCTGGGCTTTTCCTTCACTGACGGTCCTGTTCTCCTTGCTGTCCTACTTTTTCAGCCTGGGCTTCACTCACTTCTCAGACTTCTCTGTTCACTCTTCTTTTCCTGGACTTCTTTTTCCAATTTCAGCCTCTCCTCATTCCTGTGCCTCTCTGCCCCACACTCTTACATCAACTAATTCCGCCTCTTGATTTGAGGCCTGGTCATCAAACTAATTTCCTGTTTCAAGCCAGATGGAAGATCTTTCCACAGCACCACCCGTCATTCAGAACAATACTACACAGGCAAAAGAATATACATTTTTCTGGATTCTCCTTCCATTTTCTCATCAGCCCATTCTTCAATACAGCCAAACTGTTTTTAATTAAATTTTCC